TTATCGCCAGAAATGAACTCGATGTTTACTTCAACCACAGCAACCGACACAAATAAGAGATTCCCTTTCAAATTCAAACCCGAACACATGGATTACCTGCATCAAATTTGGCCCATTGGCTGAAGCTTTGCCCTTGGACTCCATATGTCCAGTAGTGTACAGTCATCACCTCAAATTTTCAGTAAGAAAAGAGCAGTTATAGTGACTTCTACGGATTTACATTACACTCGCTCAAGAAGTGATTCTGTGTGTTGAGATATTTCCTCCAAAACCTTTTGTACTTGGGTATGCCAAGCTCAAGCCACGGTTTCATGCTCCCATCGAAATGCAATACTCCAGCCGAACCCACTTTTTGCAACTTATGTTCGTAATTGTAACCCAGACCAGATAACATCCAACTATCCTCAAGACCATATACTAGATCTTGGAATGTGAGCAAGCCGGCACTTAACGTGCTAGTTTCAGATAACCCATCTTCTCTGCTCATCTGCTCCAAAATAAGAAAACGAGTAAGCAATCATCCTCTTATCAGCTTTATAATTATGTCTACAACGTACCTAACATTTAGTTTAAATAAACAAGAAATTCCAAGACTTGAGCAACAAAAGAACAAATTGCAAATATCAATTTGTTTAAAACCTTCACTCACCTCATGCACCAACTGCTGATATGTTTTGGTAAGATTGTGAATTCTCCACTTAGATATATCAATGACAGATATCCCAGACGTCCAGGAACAAGAATTTTCATCAAAACTGCTACTACTAGGCAAGTATTTTTTCAGGTGAAACAACTTCACTGCACATGACTGCACTACACCGTTCACTTTTCCTCCCATGTCAAGGTTCCTAAGGGATGACAAGTCTCGCTGAACGACGATATCATCATCCAAAACAACAACTTTCTCTAGAGATGGAAAAATCTCAGGAAGGAGATAGAAGGAATCAGAAAACATGGATAGGTATTGCGTTCTAAATTGGGTAGAAGACAGTTTATCATCAAACCTACGGAAGGAAACACGGAATTCTTCAGGCAATGACAGACGTAATGGTGCTGCCTTAAGATGACTATGCAACTCAAGGTCCTCGATGTTCAGAACCTGAACCGCAGCATTCCCATACTTGTTCCTGGAAAACCATAATTTCATAGCAAAGTAATTTTCCGTGTCTGTCAGCAGATGGAAAACCTGTTTATCATTTTCCTACAGGTAGAATAAAGCCTCATCAATGGCACAGCCATGCTAATTGCAGTATATATATATAATAAGATAGAACAAATAGATAAAAAGAACAAGACCAACAAAAAGATCATACTTTTGCATGTAGAACAGTCGAATTTATTACTACAGATGATGATAGTATATTCCTGGAGAAGATGATATAGTGGAACAAGTCTGGGTTAACAAACTTCTTAACCAGTGTCTCCTCAATGTCCGCGGAAGATCTAAAATATTCTACAGTCAATCTCATTGATAGGCAATGTAGACTCTTAGGCATGGTTTGAACAGCCAGTTTGTAGAGGAAGGCACTTTGCTTCATGTGAAAATTTGCTTCGTCCTCAGTCAGGTCGACCAGTTGTCGAAACTTTTTATCAACATTATTACAGTCCACATGGCATGATTTCGCTTTAGCAATAGAAGCCTCCATCATAGTCATCTGGTGCTCATAGCTGATAAAATGGGAGAAGTCATTCATTAACCTTCCAGATTCATATTACAAAACCGAATATTTATGATGAAGCTGCTTAATGCTACATTATAAGGTGCTCATCAGTTTTTCTAAAAGAACCTCGACACCAATTATGGAAATCGTGATTCAGAAAAACAGAAAAAAACTAAAGTTCACACCAACTCAGATGCTAACCAATAAATAGATAAATTATGCGCAGCCTTCCTCATAATAAGCAGTAATCAACTCATGCAATCAACTCATGCTGGAGAAGAATCAATAGATAAATTTAAAACTATAAAAGACAATGCACTGAATGAAAGGGTATTTGAACATACCGACTAGGAAGGTCTTTATCTGTTGTGGTTTCACTAAGAACACGTTCAAATTCCTGAATATTTTGTTTCATTTCATGAGACAAATTCTCCTGTGAAGTAAGTTTTGCAATACTTGGATAATAAGCACGAGCAACAAATAATAAGTCCTTCATCCTCTTAACCATAGAGTCATCCATCTTTGACTTTTGTTCTCGGCGCCATAAGCAGTAACTCCCAAACTTTAATTGACACATCATTTCACTCTCGTCAACCACTATCATATTGTTACTAGTGCTGCCTTTGACAATAGGAGGCTTGCTATCCTGCAACAGAACGTACAAGAAATCATAAACAACAACAATGCAGAAAGCAAGTTTTTAAATTTGAAAACGATAAATTTACCATTTGAACTTCTTTTGGCACAGCCGCTGGCACAGAAAAACCTGTGGTACATTTTACAGAAAAGAAATTAATGAACCAAAAAAAAAGAAGACCCAACACTTTAAGGCACTAATGCTGAATTAAAATAAGGAAATTACCTACCCCTGGTAATGTTCTCAGCTTCCTTAACAAAGTTATCAGCAACAGCCTGCCAAAAAAATAAGCTTAAAAATTGACAATATTGCACTTTCACAGAGATCATTTCACCAGCAATATGTTCAAGCCCATGTAACTAGTGCAAAAATTCTCATTAGCTAAATAGAATGCATAGATACTAGTCAAACCAATTTAATTAAAAATATTCATTTACACAAGTTTCAAAAATATGTAAACAGTAATCCATGTATGTAAAATAGGATTATATACAACAACAACAACAACATACCCAGTATATTCCCAACTGGTTTTTTTATGGGGGGTCAGTTGTACGCAGACCTTACCCTTGTAATTATACAAGGAGGTTGTTTCCGTAGCGACTCAAGGTGCATTGCGTCGTTTGATATATTTTTTTTTTCTAGAAACTTCACTAATAGAAGAAGCACTAGAATTTAATTTAGCCATTTTGATCTAGTCCATTATTAGCACTTTATTTTATTTTATTTTTATTCTTTCAGTATATAATCCTAAAATAGGATTATATACTGAAAGAAAAAAATATAATAAGATGTAAAGAGCCCTTTGATGTGATGTCATTCCATATTCCTTGAAATAGGCCACAACACACAAGCAACATCTGGTTGAAGGTAAACATGGAGGAGAGAATACACAACTCTTTACAACCATCCAGATCAAAGATCTGAATGACAAATATTGAAAGAGTTCATGGTAATCTAAAAACTACTTACATAAGTTTCACAGGCCTAGCACTCACAGTGCTATAGATTTCAAAGATATTCCTACTTTCATGCAGTGATTTCATGGATTGTTAACCTGCAAACTTGCACATACTGATAGCAAAGCCAATCATAGGGCTGGTTATTTTAGATGAACCACAATCAACTCCAGCAATGTTCTACTACATAATTAGAAGCAAAACAGTAGGCAATGATCTTCAAGGAAAATATAGATGACATGGACATTTGCTAAGCAATACAATTACCAATTGATATTAAGAGAAGGGATTTGACAAGTTTAAACTGTAAACCTGGATAAGGAGGTCAACTTACACCAAAAACAGAATAGTGCAATAGAAGGACCAGGTTTTTGAGAATTGATTTGGGGATAATCATAATAGGTCCCATACCAGGAAAGAAGGATTCTACTTGACAGAAGATGCATATGTTATAAGCATCTGGTCTGCAGGGTAATCTTAACACAATTCCACTTAACACATATATCATGTGTCCATCAAGTAATGTGCAGCAATTAAGAAACAAATGGAACTCTAGTTCACAGCTCACCACCTTGGCCAAAAAACAATTCCCCATTGTTCCCAAGAAACTTTGCATGTAAATTTTTATTTGATGTTTAAGTTCATCCAGTCAGTTTGAACGGTTTTTCTTCTTTAATGTGTAAAAAATTCCAATCTATATCACATTTGGAATAAGAGAATTCCAATCTATATCAACTCTACAAAGATATTGTCATTTAATTGTAGCTGCCATCAGGTACCAAAGGTTATTTCCGTTATGAAGAATCTAATCAATCGAAAGTACTCTTAATCATAAATATATAGACGATGAACCTGTGGAAGAGTTGGAACCAATCTCCTTATAAGATCATCCGTATGAGTTGATTGGTGAACCTACAAAAAGAACCCCAAAAGGATAAGACTGCTGGAGAAGAAGCATCTAAAAAGAACTATAGCTGCACGTCAAAATTATTCCACCATCATCTATGACCAAAATCTACATGCACATGCAATCTTTCATTGGACTGAAAACATAATGACTTAATATAAGTGCCACACGTTGTAAGAGGTCAAAACAAGCAATAGCTAGGTATGCATCAGCAACCCGATGGGCAATGATATTTTATACCTTAGATTGATTACTAATATCAGCAGGATTGTGTTGATCAAAAACTCTTAAATCGTTCTGGCCACATCAAAAACCATAGAACACCAAAAATAAATTGTTAGTCATTTTTCTGAATAGAGAGGATGGGAGAGGAAAGAGAGGGATCAAAAAGTTCTCAATCTTGTAGTATGTCGAGAAATACTTACCGAGCCTGAATTCCGTTGTTCAGTACCATATCCTGAAATGATTTCCAGAAATTAGAATAACCAGCTCCACATTCACATAGCTAAAATTGTTCCAAAAAAAAAAATCATAAAAATGTTTCTGCAGGTCAGGGTTCACCCAGAAAAACACACATAAAGACACCCATGTGTTTCCATTAAGATTTGATTATGCAGAAATGATACGGGCTCAACTTGACCTCCTTAACGTCACGGGAGCAAAATGAAAACAAAAAAGAAAGGTAAAAGGTAAAAAGCAAGGATCTTGATCTTGATTACAAAGACAAAGAAAGGTTGGAAGCTGACTAGAAAGCAGAAGAATTTTAAGTTACAGTGAGTGAGCCAGATCTAATCGAAAGAGGTACGAAGAAGGTAAAGAAAAAAGAGGGTTACCGATGGTAGAGTGGAAACCGCTGTGGAGGCCGAGCAAGAAGACAAGCGGGACTAGCATGGAAAGAAATACCAGGCCAAGCACCGCCATCACCAGACTCTTCCATCTTCTCTTGGCCGGAAGGGAGTATGACGATGAAACACCCCCACCCCCACTCCCACCCTTCATCTATCTCTTTCTCTCTCCTCACTTGCTTCTTCTCCGAACCTGCCTTGTCCACTGGTTTGTTGTTATTACCTTTTCGGATTTCTGTTCTGCTGTTGGATCTCAATGAACAGCTAACCACATTTCTCAATATCAATTCACGTCGCCTCTAACGGGGATCGATGCAACAAATTTCGGGCCAAATCCTATTATTGGATTACCAATGGTAACGAGTGTAATTCTGCACTTACACGATCATCTCCTCAAATATCAACTGCGCGCTGAATGAAGCAGCTTCAATGGAGGAGCTGGATAGAGAGAGAAACCAGTAAAAACTTTTGCATTTCCCCCCTCGAAACTCCTATTATTTTACTTTTAGTCCCATTAACTAACTCATCTTTATATTTAACATCTTTTTAAGGGGAAAAAAAATGCATAATAGTCATAACATACTATTCTATAGACTTTTTCCTTTTTTTTTTTGGGTACAAAAGAGGAGGCCGGAGCCTGATAATAATTAGACCGACACCCGACGTGGATGAGCCACGCCTAAGGTATCATGATTCAGCCAATGACCGAGCTCATATGGCGGGGAACTAAGATGATGAAAGCCAAGAGGAACACCACTAGCTACCGCCGCTAGCTTATCGGCCGCAAAATTTCCTTCCCGATATATATGGGAAATTCGAACACACCACCCCCTATTGAGAAGCTCTCGAATCGCCTGAATAATAGACTCATGGGGGCCAAAATTGACCTCATTCCCCGTCGCCATGGCCACGACACTACTATTATCAACTTCCACTAGCACTTGTCGCGCACCCAAGTCCCAAGCCAATCGAAGGCCGTGGTAAAGACTCCATAATTTCGCTCCAGTGATGGTACAAAAACCGACATTCATAAGGAAACCACCGAGCCAACACCCATTCGAATCCCGTGCTAAGCCTCCAGCACTACCTTTGTCGGTCGAATTGCATAGAGCCCCATCTGTATTAACTTAAATCCATGTCGTCGGTGGGGGAGCTTCAAACACAACCTTTCGAACAAAATTCCCACAGACGGCGCCAATAATGCAAGTGTGCACGTCCTGGTCCGGTTAGGGGTAGATCGATTCTTGTCCTCACCGGTGGAATGCCAGAAACCTGCAAATAACTCTCACACTGGGGGTTGTGTCCGGTGAAGAGCCTCCAATGCTTAAGTCAGTATGTGTATGAGTATATTGAAGTGAATAATAGAAAATCATGTTGGAGAAGAAAGGCTCACCCCCTTTATATAGGGGTGAGATACCTGACCTAGGGCTGCCCGGATTTGGTGAGCTGTCTGCCCTAACTGCCCGTCCGTACACACAATACGCGTGTGTCAGAGGTAGCCGTCGCCACTATCGCCTGCACCAATACTCTTTGGACGCGTGTCCTCCTGCACATGGGGTAGGCTGTCAGAGGTGGTTATTGCTACCAACCACTGTATTCTCGATACGTGTACTCCTGCACATGGGGTGAATACTCCTGGAATTCCGTTAGAGGCTCTCCCACGCGCCTGTGACTAGGCCGATTCGTTAGAGTGTTAGATCTACAAGATGATCGACCTGTTGAGGTCGACTGAATTGCTCGATCACTCATCTGGTCGAGTGACGGGTTGGTCGACTACTTGACTGGTCGACAGGTAAGCTGCTCGATCTTCCCACCACTGGGTTCGGTTCCCTCGTGATATGACCTCCTCGTCTAGTCCACCAGACCGGTTTAGCCTGGTGGGTATAATATCCTATATCATTTAGTCCCACCCACTCTGGTCGAGTCTAAATGACTCAATCTAAGAGTGAATTTGTACTTCATCGACCTCCTGGGTGGCGTGGTGTCAGACATCGACCCTCTAATGGGTTTCCCGCTTAATTTTTGAATAATGCCTCATTAATTGCCAGAAATAAAGTCTTCTGCCACACGCCCTTTCTGTCGTATCTGCTTTTTCGCCACATGTCCCGCTTGTCAGGTACTTGTCTGGTGTTTTAATGATAACGCCTCCTCGCATAACGCGCCCACTTTGAGTGTCGTGCTAATTGATGTTGTCCACCATACGATCTAACTTTAATCCAATGGTCCCCATCTTTTCAACCCTTGGACAATCCAAGGTATAAATCCCACACTTAACGAATTTTCAGACTTTTTCCACCCTTGCAATTTTGAACCCTCCTGCGCCTAAAATTCTTTCTGCAAAAAACCCTATCTTCCTCGGCGATTTCCCTGCAATCTTTGAGTCTTCCCGATTCTCCCCTCTGCGGTTATGAGTAAGTTGTTCTTCGCCTGATTTTACGTTTCCTATACTTGAGATTTTGCGTTTTGAAATTTTTTTTCTTTTTTTTTTTCGAATTGGGTGTCTGAAGTTTGCTGATTGAGTGTTTTGAATGTGTGTGTTGAATTTTTGTGCTCGCTTGTTAATCGTTGTAGATTTCGTCCTCTCCCTTTGAAATTCTCTCGGAATCCCTGTTCCCCTTCTTCAAAATCGCCCTTTTCGTGGAACCCTAATTTTGAAAGCCTTCTCCTCCTTTCTCTTTCCTTTTTTTGCCAAAATTCCTCTTTTTGATATTGTTCATTTTTTTTTTTGTTTTCAGATCATGCTATCTCGACCACCTCCTCTGATTCAGTTGAGATATTGCCTTCTGCCCTTGAAGTTGTTCCTCTCTCTATCCTCCGCCCCGGCGATACTGTTCCTACACGCATTTTCACAGCCCGTGTTGCTTCTTCCAACTCCGGGGATACTATGGATAATATCCCTCTCCACCGCTGTCGACCTGCTCTCAGCGTGTTAGACGAGCCAGAGGAGGATGAGGTCCTTTCTGCTCAACCCACTACTCCTGCATCTTCGACCATTCTGCCTTCTTCCTCCCCACCTGGACCTTCTAATTCTCCTCTGAAAAAATCCTCAACCAAAAACCCTTCACGGGCTTCCACAAAGCGCTCTTTTTCCACCCTTCTTTCTAACCCTTGGTATAGGCCCGAAAAGATCGGTCATCCTACCGGTTGGGCGTTCTATAGCCCTTCCTCTTCTCATACCTTCGACCATCCTCCTGAAGGCTGCTACACCTTCTTCAAAATCCAATTCAAACTTGGTCTTCGTTTTCCTCTAAGTCCTGAGCTACTTCAGATCTGCGAGTGGTTTGGGCTTCCCCTACATAAACTTCCTCCCAACGCCATCCGTTTCATGACCACCTTCATCATTCTTTGCCACATCCGCCTTGGTCGATTCGATCTTGCCTTCTTCCACTACTGCTACGCCCCTTCCAAGCAAGGTCGAGGCCTTTACTTAAAAAGCCGTAATGGTGCTCATTTTATCAACGACGTTCCCTTCAATCTTCCCAAGTGGATTGATCGATTTATTTTTGTCCGACCTGCTGAGCCTTTCCCTTGGCCTTCCATCCCCTGGTCAAGGAGGTTCCTCAAGAAGTTTCTGCTCCTCTTTCAAACCCCATTTTTGAGCAACGGGTCGCAACTTGGAATGCCAAGTCTGTTGCGTCGGAAGAACTTCTCAAGGACGAGAGCCTGCTCCATCAATGTGGTCTGCTCACCCGCAAAACTTGTCCTCCTCCAACCAATGAGATCCTTGATCTCGTTCGGATTGAAATGATCCAGGTAATCCTCGACCAGATTACTTGAATAGCTATGTGTTCCTTTGCTTCTCGTGTTGAATAATTTTCGATAATATCAAATGTAATCTTCTCGTTGTTTCTTTGCAGAGGTGCCCAGTTTTAATATTCCCCCGAGGAAAACTCCTCTAAAAAAGAAGACAGTGGCTACTTCTGGCTCGACCATGGGTCAGGCTGAGGGGTCGACTACTTCCTCCGGGACTCGACCGGAGCCACAGCCAGGGTCGCCTGCGCGCGAGACTCCCTTGCCACCGCCGCCGCCACCAGGACCACAACAAACACAACAACCACAACAACAACAACAACAGCAACAACCTCAACAACGGCAACAACAGCAACAGCAGCAACAAACGCGCCAAACTCCTTCACCTCCTCCTGGTAAAACCCTTCAACAGTTTTCTACTTCGGTCGCTGCCACCAAGTCCTCGAGAACCTCCAAAGCTGACGATCGTCAAACCAAAACCACCGACCGCCAACAAAAAACTGGCAGTCGCCACCAGAAAACCGACGACTGCCAGAAAACCGACGACCGCCAAAAAGTCGACCATCGAGCTTCCCATTCCAAAGATGCCACTTCCGCCAAGGCTACGGATAAATCCTCTGAACCTGCTACCTCGTCCAAAACCAGGACTCAAGAAAGACCTCCCTCCAACCAACAGTCTTCTACCCCCCTCCCCCCCTGAGGGATCGACCAAGGCTCTGGTCGAGTCCCGCAATCAAGATGATGGGGGACGGGAAGTTACCCTGGGGAAGCACTCTCGTACCGACCAAGGCGAAGTGGTTTGGAAGCGAGCGCGCGACAACCATCTTCCGCCAAATCCTTTAGCCCCACGGTCTACTTCTCTATTGTCGACCTCTACGAATGAAGTGGTCGACCGCCTCGAAGGTGCTCTCCTCGAGGACGACCGCAAAAAGAGATGTGCCACGCTCCCAGAGGTTGGTGATAAACTTGCCCGATGGCTCGCCCAGGTATCACTTTCGTCTTATCTTTGCTTCGATTTTCTCCGACCTTTTCTTTTGACGCTATACATGTTTTGAACCATCTCACCCTTTTTAATTATAGGGCTTAGTCGAGTTTTTGCCTCTGGCTAAAGAGGCGCGAGACAGCTCGGGGAAGTCCATAAAGGGCCTCGAGGGCACTATCGGCTACTTGCAAGATAAAAGCTCGACCTCCTGAACCACAACGCTAAGCTCCGCGAGACGCATACCGAGCAAAAGACTGAGTTTGAAGTCAAGCTTAAATCCCTTGACGGAGAACTCACAAAGAAGAATGAGGCTCTCGCGGAGAGAGAAGCCGCTCTCACAGTAAAGGAGGTTGCGGTGGCCGAAAAAGAAACTGCGCTGAAGGAGAAGGAGACTGCGCTCGAGCAAGAGCGGATTGCTCGAA